ATGTGCATGCATTTGTAGAATAGCCATATATACAAGAGATTAGAAGTTTCAATGCAGCAGGATGATTTACCTTCTGACCATCTCTGACACTGATGTTTCTAACCAGTGGCAGCACTTCAAAAAGCTGTAAACAGTATAATACTAATGCAAATAATAAAGTTGTGTATGCACATGATATTTACAATTAATAATAATATCACAGTATAAAGAGGTGTACTCCAAATTAAACTTGCCCAAAGACTTTTGATTTAGACACCTGAAATTTGTTTCAGTAGTGTCTCAGATGCAATCTGCAGACAGATGAACATTATTTCCCTATAAAATGTTAATTTCATGAAGTTCATATAAAGAATGAATAATAAGCACAATACTTCTATATGAAATATAAAAACTACTGTCCCACAATTCCCTCACATTTTTAGTCACTAAAATACCAGTTAATACAGAACTCACCACTTCTACATCTGAATCAGATTCTCTTTTGTCAGATCCTTTGTCTTCTTTGGTAATAGTTGAAGTTTCATCCAATGAAGAAGTCTGGGAACTTTCTGAAGTGGGCATGGGAACACATTTTACAACTGTGAGAATGGTTATTTCCCTCTGCTCAGATTGTTTACATGTAACTTCAGCAGTTGTGTTTCCTTCTTCCTTAGCCACTACTGAGAGCTCAGTCTTTGTATCATGTAAATAATTATGACTGTCACATTTATCTTTCTTACCACCTATATCTGCTACTACCTGAATATCTTCTGAATCACTAACTTGGGTTCCAAGTCCTTCAGATTCAATTTCAACCACCTTTTCATTTCTAGAACCAAAAACTTCTCCAATATCTGGTTGACTTCTTGGTTTGTAGTTGCTAGATTGCCTCCTATGTGTCTGTAACATATCTTTGACACTTGCAGTTTGCTGAGTCTCTATACTTAATATGTTGTGAGTGATGTGTGGATCTGAAACAATTTTTTCAGGTAATTCCCTTACTGTTCCACTGTATGTCCTATGATATATTCCAAATGGTTGATAAACAGAAACCTCCATTGACTGACTAGTAGTAGGAAG